GGTCTGGGGTTTAGAGTCTAGGGTTTAGGGCAACAACTTACCCAAACAACAACAGGCAACCACAAGAAAAGAAGCTTGAAGCCCTAAACCCTAAAACCCCAAGGCTCGAAACCCCTACTTCTACCTTCAGGCCTAAAGCCTTAGACCCTAATGCCCGAAATCCTAAAGCCCTAAACTCCTAAACCCTAAACTCCCAAAGGCCCTAAACCCCTAAACCATTAAATCCCAAACCCTACAGCCTAAAGCCCTTAACCATATGCAGCTCGAAACCCTGCAGCCCCAAAAGCCCTAAACCCAAAGCCTTTGAATGAACCCCAAGCCCCAAAGCCCTGAAACCCTAGACCCTATGCTCTAAGCCTTCTATGGAACCCTAAACCCCCTAAAGCCCTGAAGCCCTAGGCCTCAAAGGAACCCTAAACCCCTAAACCCCTAAACCCCTAAAGTTTAGGGTTTAGGGTTTAGGGCCTAAAGCCCTCAACCCTAAACCCTAAACCCGAAACCCTAAACCCTAAACCCTAAGCCCTAAACCAGACCCGAAAATGCCCGGAGGCGAGCATCCCGGTGGCCGGGCGCCGGATTTGGCCGAGCTCGGCTTCGAGAAGCTGCCAACCGACCTGGACCAGATGGTTTATAATCTAGTTTAGGGTTTAGGGTTTAGGGTTTAGGGTTTAGTAGAATAGTATAACAAAATGTAGTAGAATATGCTATGATGTAGTACAATATGGTATACTATGATATGCTGTACTATGCTAGAGTATAGTATAGTACACTACATTATACGACACTCTACTACAAACTACTGTGCTATGTTGTAGTGTATTTTTACTACACTACTGTTGATAGACAAAATTCTGCATGACCCAAATATAGTATAGTACCATAAATCCCATAGTTTAGGTATATAAGTTCATGCAGGATTTTGTCCATCAGCCGTAGTGATTCCCTTCTGTAGCATGGCCTGGTTGGTTTGGGTCTCCAAGGTTCTATTCTTGAGGCACGGCGTGCATTCTACGAAACCGCTGGCTAAACCCTAACCCTAAACCCTAAACCCTAAACCCTAAACCCTAAACCCTAAACCCTAAAATCCTAAACCCTAAACCCTAAACCCCTAAACCCTAAACCCTAACACCCTAAACCCTAAGCTGTCCCTTGTGGCAGCTTCAGCAGGTCTTCGGCCCCACCCTGCCCCCCCTATCTTCCACGCTGGGAGTGTGGCGGTGCTCATCTTAGGGTTTAAAGGTTAGGGTTTAGGGTTTAGGGTTTAGGGTTTAGGGATCTTAGCTTCCCCAATACCCAGCCTTTAAGCTCTTTGTGTTCTTATAAATTTAGTAGTAATCTGAAAGTTTAACCTTTCAGCTTTTTGCGTTCCTATAAATTAGTAGTAATCTGAAAGTGTGACCTTTTATTTCCCTGGCTTATTCGCCGCTCTGAGTCCACCTGGCTTACATGGAAGTGCCACCCAGACCTTCGTCGTAGCCCGTGGGTGTCATCATCGTGTTGCATCTGATGTGCCCACGAATGGCATCGATTCTCTCCAATGGACACCTTAGGTGTGACAGTGTGCTGAGCGAGAGTTTCGTGCTCCAGCGGAAGAACATCATTTCGCATGCATTGCTTTGTGCCATACAGCATAATACCAAGTGCAGTCTAGTTTCGTGGTACAGTAAAGCCTAGTATAATATAGCATACCACATTATACGACATTATACTCTAGTATAGTATAGCCTAGTATAATATAGTATAGTGTACCACAGTCCAGTCTAGTAGGCTGTAGTACAGTATAGTATAGAAACTTAAAGTATGGTACAGTATACCATAGTATAGACAGGTACAATGGGGCTAGGGTTTTGGGTTTAGGGCGGTGGTGTTGGGGTTGCGTTTCGGTAATCCCTGAACCTGCCTCCCCTCGAACCCGAGATATCCACGCTTCCAAGGAGGGACAAAGCACTCCCTCTGAGCTTCTGGACTGCATCGCCGGGCATGATAGGGTTTAGGAGTTTGTGGAGTTTAGGGGTTTGAGGGTTTTGGTGTTTAGGGGTCTAGGGGCTTGTGGGTTTTAGGGGTTTTGGGGTTTAGGGTTTAGGGTTTTGGTGTGTAGGCTTTGGGGGTCAGGATTAGGATTAGGTTTTGCGCCATCTCCCGGGTTCTTTAGTAGGGAATGGGTGTTCGGACTGATTTAGGGAAGTTTGGGGGTTTAGGGGGGTTTTGGGAACTGGAGCCCGACTTTTGCTTTATTCGGTTACAATTACAGTCCCCATAGAACTATACCACAGTATACCCCAAAGCCATAGTCTAATGCTTCAGGCCCTTGGTTTAAGGTGCCCAGGCTAAAGATGAATAGAAACCTGTGCGCTCGAGGTTTCGTCACCTCGCCCTTCCGGCAGTCAGGTGCCGCAGGGGGTGTGCACAGAAAGGGTCCTTCGATTCTCATGATGTATCGAATAGCGCACGTACAAAGATCATGCTTGCTCAGTGTTACATTTTTGTTTGGCAGAGGTTGATTAAGGTGGTAGCAGAAGTAGTCGTCGTCGCAATCGTTGTCGTCTCGTCGTCGTTCGTCGTAGTGTTTGCGTAGCAGCAGTGATGCGGTCCTCCTCCTCCTGTGGGGCTTAGGTTTACTTCTCCAGGGATTTCTTGTTTGAGATGTGTTTTAATTCAATGTTTTATGCAGCTTTGGGCACATGGGTTGAAGTTTCAACTTTTCCTTCAAGGTGCAGTCGCGGTCTCAGGGGGCTGGGGAGGTATTCCTATAGGGGTTCTCAGAATTAGAATAGGGTTTCCGGGTATATTGTAATAAGCCTACAGTAAGGAGGAACCCTCAAGGCATCGACGGTGGAAGCCCCTGTCCTACTGCTTTTCTGCTCCATGCAGGATCACTCCCTCAACGAGGGTCCATATACCATACAAGTGTTGTAGCAATATCCACAACACCCTAAACCCTAAACCCTAAACCCTAAAACGTTTGGGACCAGGGTCAAAAACAAAACACAGGGGATGGCCTTCCGAGGCCCACTTCCAAGATGGCTGCATCTGCGAACACTCGAACCGCAAACCCTGAGCCCTAGGGTTTAGAGCCCTAAACCCTACAGCCTGCATCCTTCTCGCCCTCAAACCCTAAATCCTGAGCGTAAACCTTAACCCTGCGCCCCAAACCCTGAAACCCTATAGCCCTAAGCTTTTGCAACCCTGGTGATCCCTTAAATATATAGGGGCCTGATTAAGTACAAGCACGATTTTGGTGGCTCCTTCTTATAGTGTTACTTATAGTATACCCCCTAAACCCTAAACCCT